ACACATATCAAAGTATAATGTGAATTTAACATGTTGTCCAAACGTGGTAGTCTTTCACCGGATATAACAAACTCTGCGATTTTCCATGGAAATTTGAATGTGTTAACTGGATATGCTTCGCGCCATCCAAATGTTTCGTACATGGTTATTGCAAACGAAAACACATCTGCACTTTTCTTGTATTTCTCTTTATTTAATATTTCTGGTGCCATATAAGTTGGTGTGCCAACATTTTTTGTGAACGTCATATTTGTCATAAGTAAATTCACACTTCTCGCACTTCCAAAGTCAGTCAATTTAGCATTCACCTTTTCAAAAAAGTCCATTGAAAACATTAAAATGTTGTCCGGTTTGATGTCTCTGTGCAAAACGCCGTTTTCGTGAAGATAAATAATTCCTTTTGCCGCATCAACAAGAATTTTGATCCGAAACTTCATTTCAACTTTTTCAGATGTTTTGTGTTTCATCAAATCTTGTAAACTTCCATAGAGTCCAAACTCGGTGACCATACACACTTTATTTGGGATGAACACAGCGCCGTAGAAATGGACGATAAAGTCACTTCTAAATTTGTCTAACATATTCACTTCTTTTTCAAATTCATCATCATCATTTTTAATTTCCTTCATCTTCTTAATAGCCACACAATTTCCTCTGTATATTCCTTTGTATACAATTCCAAAAGAGCCATGACCAATCTCCTTCTCTTCAATTAACTTGTCGAAATCCAGTCGTGTTGTCAATTTGGTTTGTGCACTGATTTTCAATGGGAATTGGAAGTTCTCCCCTTTTTTCATATCAACAGCAAATAATGTGATTTCATCGTCAATGTTAGTAGAGCATAATGGCATCAAAAAGACTTCAAATTCAACGGCTTTTCCTTTTGGAATTGTAATGACTTGTGGTTCTGAACGTATTTGATATTTCACATTTGAAGTTTTAAACGTGAATTGGACTTTGATGGTGTGTTGTGAGGTGTTTCCAACACAAATTAACTCACGACTTTCACAATCAACATCTATTAAAGTATCATTTTCACTTTCAAAAACTATTTCAGTTTTGTTGACTGAAATAAAAGAATTTTGGAGTTTCACAAAATTAATGTTTGAGGAGTTCATCGAGAAGAGACACGTCTTCTTTTGTAAGTCATGCACCTTTCTCTTCTCTAATATGTAATACACTGTATATACTATTAGTAAAGTTATGATCACAAACAGAATAAGAAGCAATATGACGATAATCAGAATTATCCACCAAACAGCATGCTTGTCACAAGACGTTTGTGTAACACCAGTCTCATACCAAAAATC